AGCATGACAGGAAAGCAGAATTCTAGATGTTTTCTGTGGATTCTCATTTGGGGGGCTTGACAGAGACCACACAGAACATCCTTGTCAGCAAGAAAACATGTCTGAAAATATTGGGTCTATTATATGGCATAGAACATATGGTAGTATAAGACTGAAGCATCTTTCATCAAAAAGATGAAACTTTTTCTTTTTCAATACACCTTTTAAGGTTGACACCTTTACTGGTTATTCCAAATGTGATATATATTGCCATCAGAATCCAAAAAGGGACTCTTTTTCATGGTGGACAGTGCAAGATTCATTAACTTGTCTCTCACTTTAGAAGTAATATCGCAACATACTACAAACCACTGGAACCTTGGCACCTTAATTAATGTGTCAAACAGCTGTGGTTCCCTGGGGATTATCTTTGATCCTCTGTCAGACTTGTATTTTGGAAGGGCAGTTAAAATGTTTTCTACTTCCCATTCACTAGGAATTAACATAATCTCATCAATGAAATAGACTTGCATCATTTTCTGTGGAATATCATGATAATCAAGATCCCTTTTGACTTATTCTCACAGGAAACAGACATAACATACCTTTGAGGCAAATATTTAAAGGCATACTATTGTCCTTACTATATGAAAACAAAGTATTTTTTATTTTCTTTGCTAATAGTGATTTTAAAAAATAGACTGATAACTGCATTCCAGATGCCAAAGTGTGCTTTGATTTACTCTAGTAAATTTACCTCTTTAACTGCAGGTTAAAATGGTAACATCAGGGGCACCTGGGTGGGTCAGTCATTAAGCATCTTCCTTCTGCTCAGGTCATGGTCCCAGGTGTCCTGGGATCAAGCCCCGCATCGGGCTCCCTGCTCGGCCGGAAGCCTGCTTCTCCTTCTCCCACTCCCCCTGCTTGCGTTCCCTCTCTTGTTGTCTCTTTCTCTCTCTCGTCAAATAAATAAAAAAAAAAATCTTAAAAAAAAGAAAAGAAAATGGTAACATCAAATGAAGTTGTTTTGATGATTATCAAACAGAATATCAATAAATAGACTTCCTCCACAACCCACATGTTTTTGCTTTAGCAAAATAGTCATGTTAAATAGATAGTGGTATTGACCACTCCTGCAATGTTCAAGAATTTCATGATAGCAACTGCAACTACATCCTTAGATGCAGAATTGCTTTTGTTTATTATTTTTGTTGAGAGGGACATTTCTTTGGGCTTTCAATTATCCCTTCCTGCCATTCCTGGGGTCAGGGAATTGATCCAGGGATTCTGCCAGTTACTAAATATATTCTGTGAATGGAAAAGTACCACCAGATAAATCTGTGGTCTGAGAATGGAGGAGGAGGCACCTTTAGGTCTACACACCCTTTAAAACCTGAATTCAATAAATTCTCTTTTAGTAGACCACAGTGATTTTTCAGGGCATCAAGAATCAGCGTCAGTCAAAGCCAGTAACTGAAAACTCCTGAAAATTTTAGGTGTTTCCTGTTTCTGTGCAAAATTACTCAGGTAACTAGATCGCAGTTCCTCTGGAGTAATCCTAGAATAATAGTCATTGTATATTACTGTAACTGGCATGTAGAATCCTTCTGCAAAGGAACTGTGAACGGTCTGTGGATTGTCATAGTTCTGGAAACTGAGCAATAGGTTATGAATAGTTTTCCGCCCAACTGATCAACTTTTTTTGCCTAAAATTACTTCTTAGTGTTCTGCCAAACAATTTCATTCCCAAGGACTCTTTGATCAATGATGTATATACCAAATATATACCCCTGTTTTTCTTCAACTAATTTTTTTAATGTGGAGATAATTGTAGATTCACGTGTATCTATAATAAATAATACAGAGACCCTGTGTATATCTTTTCAAATGTACCCAGTGCTAACATCTTATAATACTACACTGCAATATTACAATTTGAGTATTGACATTGATCAAGTGAAGATTTCATTACTACAAAGGTTTCTGATGTTGCCCTTTTATAGCTTTACCCACATCTCTCCCACCTGGCGCACCATTTAATTTTGTTATTCCAAGAATGTTATATAAATGGTACCAAACGGTATGCATCTTGTAGGGATTGGCTTTTTTTTAACCAACATAATTCTCTGGGGATTCCTTTAGGTTGGTGATTAGGTCAATAGTTCCTTTTTTATTGCTGAGTAGTAGTCTGTGATATGGATGTCTCATAGGTTATGGGGTTTTGTTTTTAACATTTCATTTGATGAAGGATATTGGTTTGTTTCCCATTTTTTACTATTATGCATAAAGCTGTTACAAACATCTGTGAACAAATTTCTGTGTGAACATGTCTTTCTTGATCACTGTGCTTATATAATAAGTCTTGGAATCAGTATAGACTGATTCCTCTCTTCTTTTTGGAAGTCGTTGTAGCTGTTTTAGTTCTTTCGCTTTTCCATATAAATTTCAGAATAAAAATATTGTCAATACAAAAATCTTTCTGAGATAGGAGTTATATTTAATTTGTATGCCAGTTTGGGGAGAATTGGCATCTTTTCTATTAAGCCTTCTAATATATGAACACAGTATATTGCTCCATTTATTTAGGTCTTCTTTGGCTTTTTTCATTAGAATTGTGTAGATTTCAACATAAAATTTCTACCTGTTTTATTAGATTTACACCAAAGTATTTCATTTTTGAGTGATTATAAATGACGTACTATAATTTCTATATTTATGTTTTTATCAATACTATATGAAAATGCAATTGATTTTTAAAAAATATTTATATTGTATCCTGCAATTTTGCTGAACTCAATTGTTATTTCTAAAACGTTTTTGTAGATTCCTTGGGATTTTCTACATATTTCGTGATGTCATCTACAAATAGAGGGAGTTTTATTTCTTGCTTTTTGAACTCTATGTTTTTTATTTCCTTTTCTTGTCTTATTTCAATGGCTAGAACTTACAGTACTCTGTCAAATAAATGTAGTGATAGCAGAAAATCTTGCCTTCTTTTTGGATTTTTAAGGGAAAGCATTAAGTCTTTTATTTTCAGGTTAGTTATAAATACTCCATCAAGTTGAGGAAATTCCCCTCTATTCCTATTTTTCTGAGAGTTTTTATCATGAGTCAGTGTTGAATTTCAACTTTTTTTTCTGCATCAATTGATATGATCATGTGATTTTTCTCTTTTAACCTATTAATACAGTGAGTTACAGTGATTATTTTTCAAATAATCAAAAACATTTGCATCTCTGAAATAAGCCCGAGTTAGTCATTTGCTAATATTTTGTTAAAGATTTTTGTGTGTCTATGTTAATGAGAGATACTTGTCTATAGCTTTTTTTTTTTTTTTTTTTTTTTTTTTTTTTAGTATTGTTTTTGGTATGAGGGTAATACTAGCTTAAAAAAAAGTTAGGGCACCTTCCTCTTATTTTCTGTAAGAGATCATGTAGAAAATTCTCCAGAGAAACCATATAGGCATGATGATTTCTCTTTGAGAGTTTTAAAAATAAGAAATCTATTTCCTTCAAGGTTGTAAGCCTATTCAATATACCTATTTGGAAATATTCAAAGTTGGGTGGAACAAAGATAAGCCCTTTTGTCAGTACTTAAGGTAGCCTCCAGACAGGCAGCACACAACTATAGTTCTTTGCAAAAACTGTCTGCGTTGCTCCCTCTGGCACTCACAACCTGCACCAGGAGTTTAGACTGCTGTTTCCATGGCTGCAGTCCATCTGGGGAGAGGGAGATGTCAGACAGGTATTTTTAAATGCCACAGAGCTCTCACCCCACAATGTAGCAAGCTCTTTTTTTCTTAAGCTTTCCCCTTGGCTTTTGTAATTTCTGCATCTGCAATAAATTGATTCTGAGAATTTTTGCTAGCATTTTGGTTGTATCTGTGAGGGAACAGACCTCTAGAGTTTCTGACTCCATCCTTTTCAGTGATGTCAACCCAGTGTTCACTTTTATATTCTAATTTCAGCAAGCAGAGGGACTGTTTTGATGCTCACAAACATTCTTTTGTTTTTAACATATTATAATATTAACACTTTTTCATTCTATTTTTCAATTATGATTCATGCATTTACTGTTACTATCTACTTTAGGAAGTAAAATAGAAAGCCATTACAATGGGAAATCATATTTTTGCCTCAGCCAACAAAAAATAATGGTAATAGGCATCACATAAACAGAATCTATAATTCAAAATAAAATAAAATGAAACTAAATGCTCTTGGTGGCTTCATCAGCAAAGCATAATTCAAAGCTTGCAATATATGGTGCATTTAGCCTATAAAGATTCAGGCATTCCCTGTACTTGCGTCTTGAATATTTTGTCAACTGACATGAAATTTCCCTGAGATAACTTCATGTTAGAAAATATATTAAAAATTAGTACTGATTTTTCTGGGAGATTATGTTTCTGTGTACAGAAATTATATGACCTACGAAACCTATTTCACTTGTAATATTGATATCAATGTGGAATTAAAAGGAGTTTGATATGGAAGGAAGCTTATTTAAGATTTATTTATTTGCCATTTTAATAATCCTTATTATTAATTGCTTTTGTAACATTAGCTCTTCTAAGAGTGCTAAATATTCATAAATTCAGAGAAAACAAAAGTTCTATTTTAAAATTAAATTACTTTTTACAAAATGTAAACCTATGCAGTAACTTCCCCAGTTAGAAGTCAAAACCACAATTTATGCTATTACTGTTGTTTTATTTTTCTAGGAAAGGGGTGTGTTATGGGGCATGAATATTTTTAGTAATTTAAATCTCTTGGTATTGAAATACAAAGCTAAAGTTACAGTGGCACATTGTCTTGATAACCTCAAATATAAAAACCTACTTTCTTACTACTTCAATATATATGAGGAAAGAATAACTATTATAGCAGATTCACAAATAATTTTGTTTGTAAAATATAATACAGTTCTACTACATGACATTTTTGATGATATTTACTTTCTTAATAGTTTTTTTTCTTTCTAAATAAAGGAAAATAAAGTGAATTGAACAGCAGATAAAATCTGGTTAAATTTTCTGTTAATGGCTAAAAAAAGATCATCACCTCATCCTCTTGATTATCAAGATATAAAGATCTACTGATTCAACACTTGAAAACTCTTAAGATGTTACATTTCTTTCTTTCCATATTACCTAATTAACTCTCAAATATTTCAGCATAACAAAGGAGTAGCCAAGGTCCATTTCCTCCCTACCTCCTTCTCTCTCTTGTTCCATTTATTGTTTTTTTTCCCCCTTTCTCTCTTCTGTACCTCAGTCTCTGCCTCTATTTCTTTCTCTCTGTCTTTCTCTCTTATTACTGCTTTCTTGCATTTGATATTACAGTTTTTAGGGACAGAATTTTGAGAACGTCTCTCTCCAAAATATCTTCTGTTCTATAAACCTGATAGCCTCTCCTGCTATGCTGACACTCTGTTTAGTAATAATTTATTTTTTGCTTTATTTTCACATGCTCTTTAAAATCTATAATTGATTACAAATGGTGAGACTGTACTATGTTGTTATTTCTTTATTTTGATAATATGTGTATATTTGTCCTTAAGTTCCATTCAGGGCTTTTGTCACATATCTTCTGTTTAAAAGATAACTGAACCATTTGCAAACTGAAGACAATTAAAAATTAAGGTAAGGATAAGGGAAAATGGTTATTAGCAAAGATCAAAACTTAATTTTAATAGAAACAAGAGGGGGAAAAGCTGCAGACCATTTGGGGACAGTAATTGAGGTTTATAGATCAAGTGAGCTGATTAGTTGTTGACTACAAAGAGCTCTAAAATCAAAACACTCTATTTCTGTACTACTAGACATAGAACCCTTCTGATACCATATATGTGGGTTTTTCCCCATACCAACCAATTCACCAACTCTCTGGAAACTGACTGGGCTTCCTATAATTCAGTTCAGTTCTGACACTATCTAGTAGAAGTTAGCTCACAACCCACAGCTTAAGGGCTGAGTCCCATGAGACTGCCCCCTACCTCAGTTGCCAATTGAAAACTCAGGTTGTCATCTGTGCTTGTGACTGACTGGTTATAAATGCTCATGACCCCCTCCTATGGTTTGATAATTTCTTAGAATGGCTCACAGAACTCAAGAAAACAGTTTATTTACTAGATTACTGACTTATAAAAGGCTACAACTCAAAAGCAACAAGATGGAAGAGATACAAAGGGCAAGGTATGGGAAAGGGACATAGAGCTTCATGCCTTATTCAGGTGTGCTATCTTCTCAGCACCCCACGTGTTCACCAGCCTGGAAGCTCTCCAAACCCATACTTTAGGGATTTTTGTGAAGGCTTCATGATATAGGCATGATTGATTCAATCATTGACCATTGGTGATTGAACACAATCTCTAGCTCCTCCCTAAGGTCAGGGGGTGGGGCTGAAAGTTCCAACTCTTTAATCACATGGTTGGTTTCCCTGGAAACTAGCCTCCATCTTTGGAGAAGAAGAACATAACCAGAAAAGTTTGTCTTTGTATGGACCCTAGGCAGAAAACAAACTCTCCCTTGAAAATATGTAATGGAGGCTTTGTGATGTTCTGGGATTTAAATTAACATTACTTTCAGAATTTAGTAAATTACAAACTGATAATATAACAAAAGGTTTTCCTAGATTGGTAGTGCCTTAAGAAATCTAACACCACCTCTCAAAGTTCTCAAAGGATTCACACAGATGCTCCTTAAACATGGAGATCTCACCAAGATTCACCAGTCTGCTTGACTGAACTGCATGTTACGTGAGATAGCACAACTTATACCCTTGAGCCCAGACCAATCTCCCCGGCTCTGGGGAAATTGCTAAGCTGATCCTAAAATTCACATGGAAATGCAAGGCTCTCAGAATAGGTAAAACAATCATAAAAAGAACAAAAGTGGAGGACACTTCCCAATTTCAAACCTTACTACCCTTTGTAACTTCAAATCTAACTATAAAGATATAGTGGTTAGCGTTGTGTTGCACTGGAATAAAGGTAGACTTATAGACAATAGAATTGAGAGTTCAGAAATTTAAAAAAAAAAAAAAACACAGGCAACCTATGCTTGTCATACATATTCTCGAAATCCAATATTACAAGTTTTGTAGTTTCTGCTTCAAGTACAATGAAATAACTGCCTATCAGATGACACTCCTGCAAAATGAACTATAAAACCTGGATATGATACAAAAAGCAACTACCAGAAAAAACTGGAAGGCAAGAGAAGCAGACCAACCCTACTGGAGAGTATGTGCTTCATGGAGGAGGGGAAAATGAGGGACTATGAGAGTATTTTCCAGTCTCTGGGCAGTTTACACAGCTTCAGTGGGAGAACATGTGGAAAGCCCACTTCTGGAATGGGAACCTGAAGATTGAAAAGTGGAACAGTTTACAAATAGCACCCCCTTTTTATCAGGATGTTTGCTTTTGTACCAAACGTCATGTAAGGATGTCCAAGCTATGTGGGGAGGCTGTGAGTTGGTGATTTCGCCAGCAGCTAGTATGCCAGTGGATAGCCAGCATCAGCCTCCAGAAATGTGAATGAAGAAACCTTCAGATGATTCCAGCTCCCAGGCTTCAGATCAACTCAGATGGAACCAAGTGGAGCAGAGATGGACTATTCTTACTGAAAACTGCCCAAGTTAAAGGTTTGTGCTCAAAGTAAATGTTGTTTTAAGTCACTAAATTTTGGGGTGATCTTTTTCACACAACAAGGGATAATTAGAATGTTAGACAAAATAGACTTTGTGGGAAATTATACTCTGGGGCTCCATAATTCTAACTACATAATTTCACCAGAAAATTACAAAAGTGGTATTATCTCATTACAATCATATAACACATATTCAATATGTATTATGTCCAAATGCACAATTATAGTGAGAGATTTTAACATACCACCTTCATTAGTTGATTGCTCAAGTAGATTTTAAAAAGAACAGTTAGGGGGCACCTGGGTGGCTCAATCCATTGAGCAGCAGACTCCATTTTGGCTCAGGTCATGATCTTATGGGTCATGGGATTGAGCCCCAGGTCGGGCTCTGTGCTCAGTGGAGAGTCTGCTTGGGGATTCTCTCCCTCTGCTCCTCACCCCACTCTCACTCTCTCTCAAACAAATGAATAAATCTTTTAAAAGAACAGTTAGTGATACAAAAGGCTTAATCTACAAAATTAGGAAAAAATAATAAGTATATAGAAAATTCAACCTACACACTTTAAGCTCAATGGGTATATATATAGACATATCTAACAAATATAAAATGAATTTTATTCTCAACCACACATGAAATACTTACCAAAAATGATGATGTATAAGTCTGTAAAATTGTTCTTAACAAGCTTAAATAAATTATATGATACAGACCACAATCTCCAGCCTTAGTATAATAAACTGTAAATCACAAAACAAATTTTTACAAATCAGTTAAAACAGAAGAGTCACAATTTAAATACTCATAAATAAATATGAGATCATGATACAATTTATAACACATTTAAAACAATAATGAAAATGCTATGTGGTTCATTTGTGTGTTATAGGCTGATAGGTACTTATAGGGAAATGTAAAACCTCAAACGTTAATCTAGGAAAAGACATTTTTAATTAAAAAAACGTTTTTAAAAGTCTGCATAACTAGTCTAATAATATAGAGGGAAGAAATTAATAAAAAGGACAAAGATTAATGAAATAAAAAGAATACAACAAAGAAGTCAGATGTTCAATGCTAGATATTTGATGAATTCTAAAATAAACCAAATCTGAATGGATTTATCAATACTAGAGAAGGAAAAAGTAACTGATACTAGATTTAGAATGAAAAAATGAGTATAAATAGAGACATAGCAGAGCTTTTTTTAAAAAAAAAAAGGAAAATAATGGAAATTTTTTTTTTTAAGATTTTATTTATTTATTTGAGAGAGAGAATGAGATAGAGAGAGCATGAGAAGGGGGAGGGGCAGAGGGAGAAGCAGACTCCTTGCCGAGCAAGGAGCCCCATGCGGGACTCCATCCCAGGACTCTGGGATCATGACCTGAGCCGAAGGCAGTCGCTTAACCAACTGAGCCACCCAGGCGCCCATGGAAATATTTTTGCCAATAACTTGGCAAATTGGAATAAAATGGATTTTTTTATGAAAATATAATCAGGAAACATAAGTATGTCCTAAATTTTTAAAGTATTTGATTCAGTAGTTTTTAGAAAAATCTATTCATACTTATACACACACCACCAGACCTAGGTAATTTTATTAAAAATTTCTGCCAAAGTAACAGGAAACATGAAATATACTGACAATTGAAATGGCATGAAAATCTGTGAAAATGTTAACATGAAGCATGTTGCAAAAGTCAGTCCCTTTCATGTGGTCTCTTGTCTCTACTCTGCTCCATAAGAACGGGCCTTGGACTAGGAACACTTCCTTATCAAAAGATAAAGAGCCTACACAGCCCGTGCTGCACTTATCTCGTGTGGAAATATCTTCCCCAGTTTCGTGTTCGCGGATGCTCTCTTTGTCTCTGCCTGAAGTGAGTATGTCATATGGTCCCTGGCCAACCCCACTGCTATATCTGCTCTCTGCAGGGAGGGGACAGGCTCCTTCCACTGTCACACAAGAAGGGTGTGTATAGGGCAGACCAATTGCCATGGGGGACCACGCACACCACTGAAGCTGATCTTGCTCTCTCTCTCGTCTATGTAAGTAAAGCATTGTTCCATCCACGGCTTGACTGGGTTGCTGTTTCCTTGGTGACGGTGATACCAAGATGCCATGGGCAAAGGTGTTCAGAGTCCTGTCTTGAGATTGTTAACTGGTGCACACTACTCTGCCTGACAAAATAGAACTCTATAAGTAAAATTTAAAGGCTTTTTTTTATTAATGTGGTGGTTGCTGTTTTTCCCTGTTAACTGATCTTATTTTCAAAAATTCAACAAACGAACATATTTTAACTCTTAAGTAGTTCTCCTAAAATGTATAGGCATCCATGATCGCTTGTAAACTAATTATTTTCAGGTTGCAGAATATCACAATCTAAATCTTTTTGCTAATAGGTCATGTTATAATACTCTGGACTTCAGTTTTACTTTGTATGGCTTACACATTATATTTTATAGAATAGCTAAACCTATTTTAAAAAGTAAACCTTTCTGCCATTTTCACCCAAGTCCAAGTTATAGGCAATCTAATACTCCTTTCACACAGCAGAACTAGACCCAGCATCTCCAGGAAATGGAAAACCAGTTGCCAGAGGGAAGAGGTCTAAATCTTTTCAGTGTGGTGATTATGTACTACTGTTGGCCTGAGCTTTTTCCCAAAAGGAAGAAAGAAAAGGGTGGAAAAAAGCCTTGTCTATATGTATTTATATTTCTAATGAAAATGTGGCCTTGGACATTCCTAAATTCAACATGGCCACTCAGTATTAAGACACTTCTTTAATTTTGTTTTTGTTTTATTCCAGAACCACATGAAAGGGTTTTACTTTTTTAATTTTGATTTTTTTTTTTTGGAAATAATAGAAGGAAACATATCACTTTTCTAATATTTTCATGGGCATGAAGGAAAATGTACTTTCATGATTCTCTCCTACATTGGCATTATATCAAATAATATATTCTCATACATCAAACTGAATGACCAGCAGAGGTATTAAATTTGATGAGGAAAATAGTAAGGAAAATTACCAATGAGAATTTGGGAAGGAAAGTTTGCTAAATACATTTCTCTCCGTCGTTTGACTTTCAGTGAAATGACGGTTATTTTTATCACTGCTGATATGGTGGTCTTTTTTTTAAATTTGATTGTTATCACAAGATACTGTAATTATTCTCCCTTCTTCTCCTGTCCCTTTACAAATAAAATCATTGCCTCAGGAAAAAGTTAGCTTAATGTAACTGTTTCTAGTATAAATAATTTTCTCTTCACGTCTACAAGGAAGTATAGAAGGAATTCTGCGTTGTTTCTTTCCTAAATCGTATTGTGCAGCCAAGCTCCTAAAAATCATAAAATCCAATTGAAGGAATTTCTTTTTGACACAGAAGAATAAACCGTTATTTCCAAATTATACAAAACAGCTCAGGTGATGAGTGTATCAAGCTTTGGAGACCTGGTAAGCATGTGATGTAGAAGTTAAGATCAGTCACACCAACTTCACATCCCTAGGCAACTTCAATGACTGTAACTGCAGGTTTGCAGATGGCCTGCTGGGGTCCGCTATATAATGATTCTGTGCATGTGACACCTTGTTACCTCATACTTAAACCCCAATAAAGAGTGATTTGGATTTCTCAAGATTTGTTTTGGTGTAATTTTCTATGAGAGAAAATGAGAATACATCGAAAGTATATATTCACATTTGTATTTGTGTGTGTTTGAATAATACTACATTTATATCTACAAAACCCTAATATATTACATCAAGATGTTTTAAAGAAATGAGAATTTCCAATAGAAAATACCAGAAATGTTTATAAGTTGATTGAAAGGAGTTGTTGAAGATCTTTTTCAACTATTTAACTAATAATTTTCAGTTTTCAAGCTCATTTTCATTATTTGGTTTATTTACTTGTTATTTTCACTCACATCGTATGCCATATTCTTTAATTTTAGATCTGACTTACACAAAGCATTAACATTATCCTTTTAAAAATCTGTAATTTGTAGCACTTCCCAGTATTTGTCCATTAGAAATCATTGCAATAAAAAAAATCAAAGCTCTCCCATTTTTGAGTACTAATTATGTAAAAAGTTCTTAATTTCTGTTCAGTTCCTAAATATGAATATATGAATATTAGCATATTATTATATGTATTTGTAAACATTGTATCACACAGGATTCTTATCATTCAATTTGAAAAAAATGAATTTCCTTTAAATAATAAATGAAGCAGGGGTTTCTCAGATTTGAAAATCTTTTCATGAAGAAAAAGAAAAATTATGATTTATTATTGTTTTCCAATAATGGTACATCAAAAGATGGAGTGGAAGAAATTGTATTGTTTATTAGCAAATATCATTCAACATAAAAGTAACTCTTTTCGACCTGCATTTAATCTAAACTTGTCTTGTGCTCAAGTTAAACTCTGAGGTTCCTCACCTGCTCGAAACTCTCAACACTGATGGGTACTATATAATGGTGTGATTGAAAGAATATCAAAAATTAAAAATATGAAGTTAAGTTGTCCATATAGACAATGCAGATCAGCTGGAAATCTCTTGCATTGCTTGTAGAATTGTAAACTGGAGCAACTGCTGTGAAAACATAAACTTTTAAAAGCTTTTCTTAAGTGTAAGTTTACTTAAAACTCCTTGTTTATAACTCAGATTGCCTCCGTGAAGTCAGAGACTGGAGAGGAAATGGAATGTTTCGAAAACAAAACCAAAACCAAACCCAACAGCAGCACATGGTTGACATCTTGCTACCTGAAGCTAGAATCATCAAAAACCCCAGAGGCAAAATGTCATTACTGGAATCAGAAGATGACCTGAAAGAAACAACTGAGTGACTTGTAGCTGCATGAACAATGTTCTGTGTACTGTTCTGATGCAACCCTCATAAGCCTGAATCTCAGCTATGGGATTGGATTTAATGGAGCAACCCAAAATCCTTAGATGGGGGTGCGCCTGGGTGGCTCAGGCAGTTAAGTGTTGGGCTCTTGATTTCGGCTCAGGTCATGATCTCAGGATTGTGAAATCCAGCCCTGCACTGGGCTCCATGCTGAGCATGGAGCCTGCTTAAGATTCTCTCTCTCCATCTCTCTCTGCACAAACCACCCCCCCACTCACACTTTCTCTCTAAAAAAAAAAAAAAAAAAAAAAAAAGTCCTTAGCTAGGAAGAATAATATTGAAGAATACATTGATATAAACCAGGCTAGAATGTGTAGTATTCCATTGTGTTTTGGCACATTTATGCCAACACAAATCAAAAGATTGCTACATCTGTCATCTCTACACTTACTATGGCAAAATACTGTTATAGGTATTTTATGAATATTAACTCATTCAATCCTTTAATAAATCCTCTGTGGTAGTTGTTATAAATGTGGACATGAGTAGGGCTGAATTTCCTATCCCTTGGACCGCCACCCATTCACTTATTTTTTTTTTTTTACTGACTCTGTGTAAAAATAATTTTAAAATGATTCAAAATAAAAGCAGTATTTGTGAATTATGATAAGTTTTTCCCTTTTGGTGCCCAGTATACAACATGAGGGAAAAAATAATGTATTTAGTTTATCCAAGATCTAGCTCTTTGCTGAATTGGTAGGAGGCAAATTTTCCAATAATGATCCACATGTGTTGGAGGCAAGAGGACTTTGTTTGGGTTGAAAAAAAATTTTTTTTTAAATGTGTTTAGTTGCTAAGTTTTTTCTTAATCTATATGAGTGTGTGTGTTTGTGTGTGTGTGTGTGTGTGTGTATACAGAAGTCTTGAGAAGAAAGATAGACAAGGAAATGAAGGGCATGATATTTCTGCCAGTTTTTGATCTGAGCCATTTTTTTGTTTGTTTTTGTTTTGTTTTGTTTTGTTTTTGAGCCACATGAGTAAACTTGTGAATCTGAATATATTTGAAACTAGAGGCACAAGTCATGTTGATTCTAGTGCTGACTACAAGAGCTGGGAATGAGCTCATTCCTTTCCATTGCCCTGCTCTGGCCCACTGCGGGCCTGGCTATGCTGTAGAAGACCTACAGCTTCTGGTAGAGAGAGGTGAGTAATTACGGCCATCAGAGACCGACATGGTTTTTCAAGAGCATTAGAAGCTGTGGAAACAATGCAGATCACTCAGGAGGGAAGCAAATCTTCAATGAGAAGATTGAGACTAGGTATTGTGACATCTCCAGTTACACACAAAAATAATTGGGGATAGTTTAGTAATAAAGTTGCTAAGATCCAGGATGTGACAAAAGCAAGGTGGGAACAGAATTTGTTTATAAAATTAATATTGTCTCTTACCCAGTAAATATAAGAAAGGGTCTGTGGATGTTTGGATTGTAGGTCTAAGAATTTATACTTGCAATAAAAAGCAGTCATACATAGAGCACCCTATATACTCATAAGGTATGTCATGTTACATCATGATTTATAACAAAGTTTTGAAGTTAAATTAGAATTAACAGGAAAAATTAATGTAACAGTAGTCTACCCTTGAACAACTAGGGGGTAGGGGTGCCAACCCCAGCATAGTTGAAAATTTCCCTATAACTTTTGAACCCCCAACAACTTAATAGCCTACTGTTGACCAGAAGCCTTACCAATAACATAAACAGTTGATTAACACATATTTTGTATGTTACATGTATACTGTATTCTTACAATAAAGTAAGCTAGAGAAAAGAAAATGTTAAGAAAATCATTAGGAAAATACATTTACAGTACTGTGCACATAAAATATCCACCTGTACGTGGGCCAGGCCTGGCTGGGAAAGGGGTCCTGGTGGCTGCAGGCCTGGCCAGGGATGGCCACATTCCACAGTGTGTGGCCTGGGCTCAGAGCAGCAACCCCCAGGTAGACCTGTGAGCAGTGACAGTAGCCTAGAGACTCAGTACAGTGCCCCGTCTGCCCAGAGGTGCACCACCAGCCCATGGCCTGTAGCAGCTGTGCCCACATATGAGAGCACCAGCCTCTGGGAGACCACAGGGCCAACCCACTGCTGGGAAGGAGGATCTGCATTTGGCCTAGAGGCCTGGAGCTTGGCTCATGGAAGACTTGGAGGCCAGGGACATGGGCGATGTAAGGCTTCCTATCCATTGCCGTCTCTGCCCTCTGGACATGTTCCTCCATCTCAGTCTAACTTCGTGCCTGCCAGTCCCAGGCCACTCAACCTGACCACCCCTATGGCACACAGGGCAACCTGCAGCCCTTTTCCTTCCTGTGTCGCTTGGGAACTGCTGAGAACCTCTGAGGGCCTCGCTGGGTACTCAGGGGCAGCAGGTGTGACTTCTGTTCTAGTAGACATCTATTGGGTCCTGGGAGACTGGGATGGGCAGTTGTAAATACATGCCTTGTGGCTTTTGCTGTGAACTTTCAAAAATGTGCAGAAAGTGGACATGTATCTTCAAGCCCATGTTGTTCAAGGGTCAACTGTATTAAGAAATTCAATACTAGCCTGCTAAATATCTGAATGCCCTTCCCTCTCACAACTAAATGATTTTCTAATGTCCTTTGCATATATTGCAAACAATGTGTTATGTCTTCTCCAAGTTTCAGGAGGAGGAACTCCGTGCACTACAGCTAACGCCTTAAATTGCATTTTTCACTTTGCAGTCAATTTCATAAGGGTTTGCACATTGATACCTTTGTCAGAGTAATTCCAGTAAAATTGAAGGTGTTCTTTTTGTGGGTTTTTTGAGGGAGGGAGAGTAGATTTTAATATAGTTTGTTTTATTATCCTTCTTTAGAATTTATCAATGCAGGGACGCCTGGGTGGCTCAGTCGGTTAAGCATTTGATTCTTGATTTCGGCGCAGGTCATGATCTTAGGGTTGTGAGATCAAGCCCTGAGTCAGGCTCTACACTTGGCAGGAAGTATGTTTCAGGATTTTCTTTCTCCCTTTCCCTCTGGCCCTCCCACCCTCCCATGTGTGTGAGCTTACGTGTGAGCTTTCTCTCTCTCTCCCTCTCTCTCTCTCTCTATATATATAAATCTTTAAAAATAATTTATTAATGCACCACTTGATGAAGTTGACCATTACTCAGCAATCAATTTTTTTAACACTTTAAATCATTATAGATCTTGGAAAGGAAAGCAATAAATATGTATATTTAGGTAGACTATATTAAAACTCACTTTACTTTCCTATTCTTTTATATTGTTAATAAAAATGCAAGCAGATTAATATAGAGGCAGCAGGGAATTTATAGTATTTAACAATTTCAACAGATTTATATATTTTTATTCTCTTAGTTTATGAGAAATGTGTTCTTGAACATATTTTCTTTAGGCATATGTACATATGTATATATATTCTTAGTGTATTGTTTCTTTGTTTTTGTACTTCAGTAAGTTTGTGGTTTTTTTAATAAGATACAATATAAAATAGAATGAATTTAACTGCAATTTTTTTCAGGAATACAACAGCAATGAAAGAAGACCCTTAAGGGATATTGGCAAAACCATTGCATATTTTTAAATTCTCTTCCTTCATTCATTCATCAAATGTTTATTGAGTACCTCTGAATGCAAAGTACTGTGCTAAGCACATAGGGGTTACAAAGATAAATTAACCATTACCCCAAACCTCAAAGACTTCAGTTTAATAGGCAGAGTTAGACACAAAATCACTATAATAAAATGTGATATGCAAAATTCTATGAAAACACATAGGAAAGAGTAATTTATTATGTTATAAACAGGCAGAAAGAGCTTACAGGAGAGCAACACTGAAGGATGAATAGGAGGTAACTAGGCAGAGGTGAATGGAGAACTGCCATAGAGAACTGAAGGAGAAAGACACAAGAGTCTGAAGGTGAGCCATGTGTTTGGGAGATAAATGCAGCTGAAGTCAGCAAGGAATATTTGCTCAGATTGTAAAAACTCTTGCATGCTGGAGTATATCTCTGCAATTTTTAACTTCCAAAGCAAATTTATTCATGTTGGTCTCTCTTATCATCATTGGATTTTTTTTCTCTTAAAACTATTTATTTTCAAGATTCCTCAAATTTTATATACTACTTGAAATTTGATCCCCTCAAATAGAGAAAGTAATTTCCTCCATTATATCAACTGTCAGACCTGATTTACATTTTAAGGCTCTCATAACATAGCCCCCCTCTTTTTTTATAACATTCATAATGTGTAATCCCATTATTCTGAAATGCTGTATAAAATGAGAAAAAATAGCCAGTACATTGAGCATAATAGGCACTCAATAAATATCCATAAAGTGAAGTGATTTCGATTAATTTAGATGTCACAGTCACTCAAGCTATTTTGCAGAAGAGCACAAATTGAAATGCCTAGTCGTGATACTCATGCTCAAACTCTGCTCCTCCGAGTCACTGGCTCAGCATTTGCCCCAGGCTCAAAGCTGCCGTTTTAAAGCCCAGCCTTGCTTCTCTCTGCTTTTTCTCCATGGCGTCTCCATTCCTGTTTGCTTTTTAGTGTGGTTATTTCCAGGTGCTACTCAGAGGTACATTTACTTGGGAGCTGATGAGGCTAAGTTTTCAAGCTCCCCACTTAAGCCAGCTCCTTCCTAGGCCCTGAGAGGAGTTCCAGCAGTGCGCGTACTTTCGTGGTCATGTATTTTTGTAAAATTGTGCAAAAGTATGATGATATTTGCAATCCGTTAAAACTGCTTCTCCATACTTTGATTTTCCCTCTGACACACTTTCTCTAATTCTATGTGGAATTAGAAAGACTACTGTTGAAGCTGAGGATATGTTTCATTTGAATTTTGTGTCATAATTTATACTACATATCATACATGTATGACACTCCATGTCATAACTATAGACTACAATGTACGACACTGTAGTATAACACCCAAAGGTTTTCACATTAAATTTTCACTTTCGGAAGTGATTCCTTCCTTCCTTTCCCTGTGGATATCCAGTTTTCCCAGCACCGTTTATTGAAGAAACTATCCTTTCCCTATTTCTAGGTGACTATGTTGAAGATTAGTTGACCATATATGTGTGAGATCATTTCTGGTCTCTCAAATCTTTTCTATTGGTCAATGAATCTGTTTTTAATGCAAGAACCATACTGTTTTGATTACTATAGTTTTGTAATATAATTTGAAATCAGGAAGTGTGATGTCTCTAGTTTTGATTTTTTTTTTTTAAGAATTTATTTGCGAGACAGAGAATGAGAGACAGAGAGCATGAGAGGGAGGAAGGTCAGAGGGAGAAGCAGACTCCCCGCTGAGCAGGGAGCCCGATGTGGGACTTGATCCCGGGACTCCAGGATCATGACCTGAGCTGAAGGCAGTCACTTAACCAGCTGAGCCACCCAGGCGCCCTAGTTTTGATCTTCTTGTTCAATTATTGCTTTGGCTATTTTGAATCTTTCGTGGTTCCATATGAATTTTAGGATTTTTTTTCTATTTCTGTGAAAAATGACATTGGAACCAAACTTCCTATAATATCTTGACACCCTCCTCTCCATACTGCAACATATTTCATCCCCATGAGAGGTTCTACATCTTCTGTTATCCTAGATATTATTTCAATTTAATATTTTTTATTAATAGAATATGATTGAGTATACATATTTAAAGCATTATGAGGGGC